AATTGACTCCGGATACCAGTGATTCTTTATTCATTAGTACTTCAATATACACGAATCAACGTAGAAAAACTTGTACGCTTTATACTATTTTTTAAATGATATCTCATTTATATTTTTCTATGAAACATAACAAATAAAAAATAATTGCTAAAATTTGTTGTAGGATTGAAAAAAATTAAACATAATGATAACTCAGAAAATGTTATCGAATTTGTTAGATAAAGTTATTACATTAAAATTTAAAAATACATTATTTACGTAATATATTTACGTTCTATAAGTTTCATTAGAAAAATTTTATTCGGTATTATGCTATGTTATTTTGGTTATTATCGAGATAATTATTACATAAATAAAATATGTTTTATTGATTTATTTTTATTTTTACTTGCGTTGTTCGACTTTGTACTTTTTACTGTTTTGCTGTAGTCGTGTAAGAGGTTTTATTTTTAAAAATTTTTATCGAATTTCAGTGGATTTAAGCATTTTATAAACGTTTAGGTCTAGTTATAATTTGAACAATACTATGAATATGTGCGATGATGATGTATTGCAAACCTAAATTATGTATTGTTTTTTTTTTTTAATTTGCCTTTGTTCGCACATTACAGCAAAATAAGTATTGTTTTAAAATCCTCAAATTGATAATGTTTATTTTTCAACATTAATTGGAAGTTTGTTTAGTTATAAGTTAGGTTAGTGCAGTTATGATATACCAGATGATATGCTATGTAGTATAGTTTATGCAATAAAAAATGTTTAAATATGTATCCATTTGTGCACAAAAAACAGCTAAATGTGCATGAAAAAGTTAAAAAAACGCATTAAAAATAAAAAAATTATGGAATATTAAAAAAATAAATAAAAAATAAAATCATGCAATAAATTTTAGCATTTTTTAAAACAGTAAAATATTTCAAAACCAGTTTATAATTCAGGTATCATTTATTCATCAGTTAAATAAAATAATTTTTAAAAAAGTTCTAATATGTACTGAAATGTATTTTTATTCTTAAAATTCCAAAAATATGAATTTAAAATATAAAACCATTAAATTTGCAAATATATGTAAAATAAAGATATAATTATTTGATTCCGTATAACATGAATCAAATTTGTATTCAGGTCTGCATTGAATAGGATCAATAGAAAAAAAATTTGCGATTTCTTATACACCTAAACCCTAGTTATATGTTTAGACACTAGTTAATATTTACATTATTGTACATAATATATTAAATACCTATACTTAATATAAATATAAGGAATAATCACAGCCAATTGTTTTTCTAAAGAAAATAATATTAGTTTAAGAGATTTGTGTCATTCTTTTTTATAAAGATTATGAAATAATTTAAATATAAATAAGACACATTTTGTTCAAAATCTATGCTTCAAAAGTCCCTCGGCAGTGCAAATTTACAAACTTAAAATTATTTTTTATAATATAGTTACATTAAGAATATTAGTCCTAGTTATTGTTTTATAATTAATTTTATTATTGAAATATAATAGGTCTTTTACTTTTTATTATTTTTCTTTCTATTATGTTTATCGATGATATATTGGTGATTTGTTCTAGTAAATTCCAGTTTTTAACAAATTGTATTTCGTCATAGATTTATAATTTTTTTTTTTTTTTTTATTGATCTAATAAAATGCCCGACAACTATGGTCATTAGCTACAAATATGAAATATACAATAGTTATTTACAATTTTTAGGTATTCTTATATATACATTGAGAGTTAACATTGAAATTACAGAATAGGTGAGGTTACATAGTGTAAAGTCAGGTTATATGTTATTATATTAAATTGTAAAGGCCTGTCAATTTCAGAAATTTTATCATCTTGAAGTTTTCTTCGGTGTTGGGGCCCAGTGCGGTGTCAAGTGATGAGTCTAGTCCGATGATTTGACGATCGCGTTGGAATTTTAGGCATTCAGTTACGATGTGTTTTACTGTTAGTTGGACACCGCAGACTTCACACGAGGGTGGTTCTTCCTTTGCCATTAGGTACCCGTGCGTAAGTCGCGTGTGTCTAATTCTCAATCGGTTTAGAACCGATTCTTTTTTTCTTTTTAAAGAATTGTTAATCCACCTGTTGGTACATCTTTTTATAGTGTTGAGTTTGGTATTTTGCTGTTTCCAAGTATTGAGCCATTTGGTATTGGTTATGTGACTTATGTGTCTTTTGAGGTCGTTGTAAGAAGGACCTGCTATATTTGCTATTTTGGGATTTGTGGCAGCGATCTTGGCCTGTTTATCGGCTAGTTCGTTTCCTTCTATTCCGGAGTGCCCGGGGACCCATATGAGGATTATTTGTTTATTTTTGGATAAGGCTTCATTCAGATTGTTCAGTATTTTTGTAGCGATGTCACCGGGTTTGAACTGGTTTTTAATGCTGTAGAGTGTACTCAAGGAATCACTGAGTATTATATGCTTGGGATATTCATCGTCTATAACTGATTTGATCGCCTCTAGTATCGCTATGGCCTCGGCCGTGTATATAGAGCATGTGTTAGGTAACTTCATTAATATGTTTTTGCTTTTGAGTATTATTGAGATTCCTACTTGGTCCTGTGTTTTGGACGCGTCGGTGTATACTTCTTGATATTCCTTATAATTTTCTATTATACTTAGGAAGTATCTTTTGAACATTTCTGGGGACGTTTGTGTTTTTAAGAATGCACTGAGGTCGGTATTTATCTCGTATGGAGAAGTCCACGGAGGTGTGGACAGTTGTTCTCTTACAATTAGTTGCTTGAGATCAATGCCGTATTTTTCTAATTCATCATATGATTCGCTGTCTTCAAGTGGTGGGTTAGTATTGTTTGATCTATAGTATCTAGTTATATATTTAAGTGATAGGTCTTTTCTTTTAATCTCTGCTATGGGCTCGCCGGCTGTATTGTAGATACTATAAATTGGGCTGCTGCGGAATGCGCCTATTGCTAGCCTGAGCCCGGTGTTGTTTGTGCTGTCTATTTTTTTAAGAATAGATTGTGATGCCGATTTGTATATATTTGAACCATAGTGTATTTTCGATTGGATAATTGATTTGTGAATTTTGATTAGTGTTCTAGATTCGCCTCTCCAGGATGTGTGTGAAAGTATTTTTAGAATATTTAATGATTGACTGGTTGAAGATTTAAGATAGTGTATATGTGTTTTCCATGTATGTCGGCAGTCGAAGAAGATACCTAGTATTTTGACTGATTTTTTAATGGGGATTTGCTTATTATTGAGTGTAATTAGAAGTTCACCAACTTTTCTCTTTTTAGTGAATATTATGAGGTTTGATTTTGTTGGTGCGAATTTAAAACCTGTGTTTCTTGCCCATCCAACTAAATTATCAGTGGTTGTTTGGAGGTGTTTTCGTACTGAGCTTATATTGTTGCTGCGACATGAATAACTAAAGTCGTCTGCAAATAGATTGCATTTTGTGGGTAGCGAACAGCTTTGGGTTATATCGTCTATGGCTAAGAGAAATAGAGTAACAGATAATGCCGAACCCTGTGGTACTCCGTTTTCTTGGGTAAATTCTTTGGATAAATGACCGTTTGCTTTAACTTTTGATTTATAATTCATATTGCCTACTATGCTCATTTTATGAATCTTTTTAAGTTTACGATCTCATATTTATAGATTTAGCTGACTATAGTCACATCATATACTTAATTTCAATACATGAATGTTTAAGTTATTTTTTTCATAGATACTGACGAAAAAATATGCTACGAATATTGTTATAGTCAGTGGCGTATCCAGAATTTTTTTTTTTGGGAGGGGTTATAAAAAATGTAATATTCAATTTTTTTTGAATTTTGTGTGTTTTTTTTTATAATCAATAGACAATATACATACATTAAACATTTTCGAGGGGGATTATAACCCCCTAACCCCACCCCTGGATACGCCACTGGTCATAGTGGAACATCATTATTTCTACGGATAAATCATATGTTATATTGATAATGACTATGTTATATTATTGTAAACGTGTTAATGTGTGTATTATGTATGTAAATTATAATTTTTTGGGAGATCTATATTTTATAATATTGTTCTCTGTAACTTGATTGTCTTGTTGTTAAAGGTGTCTTTTTAATAACGATTTGAAAGCCTATTATATTCTTACATTTTAAGACTGTCATTTGAATATATATTGTATCAGCAATGATTCATTTTTTTGCTTGTTTCTTATTCAAAAGCATTAAAAATTATAGATTATTTTTTAGGTAGTCTATAACTAGTACATATATTTATTTACCATTCTATAATACAATTTAAAATCCCAACCCATTCTTTATTCTTTTTTGAATCAATGTATTTTACGTTACATTGGAGTCAGTGCTGTAGATAGAATAAGATGGGCCCTGGTGAAAATTTAATGTGTGGGCCCTTTATATAGGCGCACAATAAGTGTGAATGTAGGGAATGCTGGAATAATTGATGGTAAACAGATCTTTGGGGAGCTTAGCCCCCCCCCCCAAAGTACACACCCCCCTTAATAATATAATAAACTGCATTGCAACAATTTTAAATTTTTACTAAGTATTCTTACTTTTTAATTATAATACAAACATAATAAATTAAAAATTTAAATAATTATACTTACATACTTGTATAGAAAAATTAATAACTAATAATAAAGTTGAAATTGCATAAATGTTAATATAATCGCTACTCTTTATTTATTTAAACTATTAAGCAACTATAATGTACATAATGTATTATTTATTTAAAATATTTAAAATTAATTATATTATTATATTATTATATGGGAACTGGGAGTGCTAATTTGAAGCCTGGAGGTGCTATTGTGCTAAGCACCCTCTATGTGTGCCTATAGCCCATTATTTTCCATTAATATTTATTTTAAATAATTATAAAAAAACAATACAAATCAGTCATCAGTATGAAATCTTTTTTATTGAGTTTAACACAAAAAAATTTTTTCTTGCTTTATCATTAGCGAAATTGTCAATTATTTTTTCTATATCTAGTTCATCAGTTCTACTTCTTTCTATATTTAAAATAGCAATATTACTAAATCTATTTTGAGACATTGAGTTTCTCAAATAATTTTTAATGAGTTTCAATTTTGAAAATGACCTCTCAGCCTAGGCCACAGTTACCGGGATTGTAAGAAATATTATACATGCAGTTAACACATCTGGAAAACTACAATCCACGTAATTTTGAATAATGAAGTTTATTAAGTCTCTGATATCAGATTGTTTTGGACCAATTAGTGTTGTAACTGATAAAACTTGTCTGGTAAAATCTTAATTTATGTCAGATTTGTATTTTAATACAAAATCATACAATGATTAGATTCCTCGGAAATTTTTAATTTTGATGAAATTAGAAATTCAAATGTGTTCATCACTTCATTTAACCCAATAAATCTATTATGCAACTGTGCTCAAACTGTATCGATTATTGATAAAAAGATTTTAATTTTAAAATAATTATCTTCCGTTACATTCAATTGTATGTCTCCATCCACTTCATCAAAATATAATTTAGCATAATGTGGTCATTTACTTATTGACTGAGTAGTAATACCCCATTTATAACAAATATATTTTTCAGTATTTAATATAGAGTCATAATTTTCACGTAGATTTTCAAGTGTACCAATTGTTTGCTGAAGTAGCATTTTGTATGTTGATTTCATTAGACTGCAGATATTTGGATACTGATTGGATCGATCTTAAAATATTTTCCTAGACACACAATAATAAAATAAATTCTATATTTTCAATTTTTTTTGCAAAGATTTACTTTAAAAAATCTCTTCATTTTTCTTGCTAGTTAGACTAATTACTGTAAGTCTTCAGCACATCAATACATTTTTCTTTAAGTGCAAATAATGCATTATGTCGAGCTTTCCAGCGTGTAGCACATACTTTTTTTAGAACCTTCTTACAAACTGCTGTTGCATTATCTTCTCCAAAAGCCAATAATGCCCATCTTGGAGCACTTCCACCAAAAAAGTTGAATACAGATTGTACAGTTTCAAAAAATCTCATTGCTTTGTCAGAACTCTTGGCTGCATCACAAACGACTAGGTTCAGATTATGGGAACAACAATGAACACACATAGCATTAGGTACAATATCGTTGATTCGCTTCTGTAGCTTCGAATAAATTCCACTCATGACACTTGTACCATCATAGCATTGTCCTTTACATTTATTAATATCCAAACCCAAGTTATGAAGAAGTTGAGAAATTAGATTTTTGTAATCAACAGCCTCGTCATGATGTATTTCAAAAAATCCAAGAAATGATTCCTTAATTTTAACTAAATGGTTTTCAAAATCAATTAAGACATAGCGAATTATAACACTGACTTGTTTAATTTTAGTAATATCTTGAGTGAAGTCCATAATAATTGTAAAACAAGAGTACTGCCTGATTTCATCACAAATTATTTCTAGCAAACTTGATCCCAAAATTCCAATTAATTCATTTTGTATGGTTAGGCTCAAGTATTTTAAATGTTTTTTTTTATTATTCAATAATGTTTGTAAAACAGGATCAAATTCAGCCAATAAATTAACTTATCTGAGAAAATTCCCTTCAGAGTATTCTTTACACTCATTCCCGCATAATGCTGTGTTCCCTGCAGTGAGTGTCAAAATTATTTTTATTTTTCTTGTTATAATATCTCTCCGGAACTTTGCTTCATTTGAAATTTGGGTTTCAAGTTCTTTATCAATAGTACCGTTTTTTAACCAAACTGTTTTAAGTTTTGTGGCTTCTAAATATATTAATTAATTTTGTTCATGTAATTTTACTTTTTGGGAATGATGTTGCCAATCATTGGTATCATCGATCCATTCAGGAGTAAAACTACTGTTGCTACGATTAGCAAAAAGCCAACAAACTTCACAATATACTTTGTCTAGTATAACAGAGTAACATAACCATGCCCTTGGAATACGACTTACTATTTTCGTTGACATAAAATAGTAATTTGAAGAAAATCTTATCGTACCTCTTAGATTTGTACCAGGAAATTCAATATTTGGTCTACATGGGCCTAATAATAGTATGGACCTTTTAATACTATCTGTTACTTCATTATCAAAACTTCCTTTATCAGTTGGGTAACTTGAATCCAAATTCAATCCTGAAATAATTTTTTTTTTTTTAATTTTAACAATTAGATAAGAATTAAAACACTCACATAAAGCAAATATATAAGACAATTATTTTTATTTTTAGCTGAACAAACAATTTAATGTAAGTTTTACTATGATCCGATTGTACATAGTTAAGCTTCTAAGCTGTTACTAATCCATTTTTGTAAGACTATATGAAATCGAGAATTTATTAATATCATTTAAAATATTCATAAAACAACGATCTAGGACATTTCAGTGCGAGCGTTTCGGCGCGGCCGTTTCGGCGCGATGTACGTTTCGGCGCCAATTGTTATTATGGACAATCTGTCGGATGAATTACCAGAAGAAATCTTACCCTTGTTAGACTGGTTTGAAGAAAATTATATAGGTAGAGTTCATAGAAATCGACGTCGAAATGCACGTTTTCCTCCAAATCTGTGGAATGTCCACGAACGAGTTTTAAATAAAAATGATAGAACTAATAATTATGCCGAAGCCGCTAATAGACGACTCAATGTTCAAATGGGGGTTGCTAATCCAACACTATGGGCTTTTATATCTTGCTTAAGAAAAATACAGAGTGGTTGGAATACTTTTTATTGCCAAATAGAAGCTGGTAAAAGCCCACCGAAAAAACAAAAAAAATTTTTGGATGTTGATAAGCGAATCTTTAAAATAGTTAGCAATTATAATATAGGGACATATTAACATTTTTAAGAAGTATTGCTCATAATTTAAGCATGACACATTAATATACTACATATTTATTTTATTATTAGAGTGACATATTGATATTGTATTATTAATTTTATATTTATTATTTATTAAGCACGACATTGTCATAACGACATTTAACATAACAGACCTATTTTATTATTTATTTTATGTTTTTTATTTATTAAACAGGACGTATTGATATTTTATTAAAATTGTAAATTTTTTGACAATATCTATAAAAGTGAATTATAATATTAATTTTATAGAAGTAAATTTGTGTATTATGTAAATTAGTGTAATCCAGCGCCGAAACACCTCGCGCCGAAATGGCCGCGTCGAAACGGCCGCGCCGAAATGTCCGGGTCCGATAAAACAAAATAAGATAATATAATATAATATTTACCAAAATATATAGGAACATGGTCTTCATTAATACCTTCAAATATTTAAATTGAATTAAAATTTATAGTTGCATATTCTGCATATTTGACCATTTTTCATTTTATAAGTGCCTATTTGAGAATTATTTATATGAAGGAGTAAGTTTTTTAATTTTATAAAAAAAAATTATGGATTTATTTCTTTATAAATCACTCGACTTGGAACTCAAGGTGCCTTAATGGTGCACTAATTAAATCCATTAAAATAATTAAAACTACAAAAGAACATATATATTCTGCAAAAATTGAAGGATCTGCACAAGCTAAGGAAATTGTTGATATGATAAAATTAAAATAGTTTTGGAGAAAAAGGTTGGATTTGATCAACTACAAAAAATATCGAACATTTTAAATGGAAAAATAAATCTATAGATAGATTGGCTGCAGATATTAGTAGTAATGACCTACCATTTTTGAAGTTTGTATTTATAAGTTCCGTAGACGTGGAATGTTCCTTTTCTAAATATAAAAATATTTTGGCTGATAACAGGCGGTCATTTAAATTTTCCAACTTGAGAAAATATCTTATAGTCCAATGTAATGCTCAAGGTTACCTTGATAATTATAACTGTTATATATATATTATTATTATTATAATTATATATATTATTATTATTATAATTAAGTAATTATAACTATATTAAAATAGAAAAATGTTTACAATTTAATTTATTTTTAAAACCATTTTAAATTTTTTGTTTTAGACAAAAACTCAATATAAAATGAAAACAAATTTGAAAAAAATAAAACAATTGTCTCAGATCATCATATCTATCATATCTAAATATATTATTATTTATTACTAATTAAATTTTTTTATTTAATTAATTATAACAAATATAATTTATTTTAAATGCATATTTTAATATCATATTTATTGATTCTTTAGGGCATAAATGCATACATATTTTAAGGTTTTAAAAGGCATGATGTCCCTAACCCTAGTTATGAGTTTAAACATGAAATAAATGTGATGAATTAAATATTTTTTTATATTTTGTATTGACTAACTAGCATGACTATTGAGTAGGTTACCTAGTACATGGTACCTGTGTAACAGAGTAATACAACACTTCAGAATAAATATCAACTTTTCACAAGTTAAGAATAATAATAAAGATACCCACTTATTAATCTTAATAACCTATCATAGAACTAACTTATTAACTCGTCTAACTGTTTGTATTTCTTAACAGTACTTACCTTTTTCAAAATCAGCCGAAAAAGTTGAACAAAAAAAATTATTTATTTTTGGCAATTTTGATATTTCTCGATTGTCTCTTTATTTTTTTCGTTTTTCACTACCACTAAGGTGTTTTTTATTAACGGATTACATAATAAAATGATAAAAGTAAGTAACATGAAAATTGACAACCGTGCAAACAAATAACAACTATACCAATGAACAATTATTAATTTGGTATCAATGTATAATGCTAATGCTATACATAAATTTTATAAAAAAAACATAATTTTCTAGAATTTCTGATAAATCTAACCCTTATCCAATATACCACGGCCAGTATCGAGCCGATAATAATGCACAATATCATTTTCCCAATAATTCTATTTTTAGTTGCAACGATATCAAGAAATCATGCATTGACGTCTATCAAACTGCAATACAGTAGTACACCATCTATACTATTAACCGACTACAATAACAGAGTACTAACGGCATTATCATAATACGAGTACTACTAATACAGTAATACATATAATATTATGATCTTATAAAAAAAAACAAAAATTGTTATTAGTATAGGTTCTTATATTATTTTATTTAAGTATGGGCCCCATATTAGATATTGAAACGTGGGGCCCCGGTGCAATGAATGTAGTTCTTCGTCGCGTTGGGTTGATATAATATAATGTAACATCTTAAAGTGTACTGTTTTATTTTAAATGTAAAATTTGTATGTGTATTATATGTGTTCCTATATCATTTTAGTATTTCCTATAAAATATAAACGGTTGATAATATTTATGCTAAAATCACTATATAAATCAAAATGTTTAAATAATTTCGTGTATTTTGAGCAGAAATTAATTTATAACTTATTAAATAAAAATAAGTTATTTAGATTTAAAATATATTTCAAGATAAAAAATAAAATCATGTAACTAAATTTTAGAGAATAACTGCAGTAAGCATATGTGTATATTTAAAAATATAAATTCCATTTATTCCTTATCTACTTGATTCTACTTGTGTAATATAATATATTTTGTTATACGAGATGTTATGTAATATTTTATATTCATTGTATAATATTTGAAGTCCATATTATTTGAACTATTTGTAATATTAGTTAATTACTTTTTATTTACAACATTAATCATAGACTTGTACAGATGGTATGTCTGGTATCACTTCTTCGTATAACATCGTAACCATGGTACAAACAGTTATAGTGTTATTCAGACGAAAATCCATTTATTGTATTTAGTTGTTTATTTTAGATGTTTCATTACATAGTATTATGGTCTAGTATTATATGAATGCATTTTTTTATTGTCACACCATAAGGTCCATAATAAATGCCTTTATTATTATTAAAATAGTTTATATAAATAAATGTCTATTTTTGAAATTAATGAAATGCATTGGTGATACCGTTATACTTATTCATATGATGTGCATATAGTTATTTTAATATAAAATTGTAATACTATTCATTTTTAAAACTTAATAAAAAACATTGAAATAAGAAGATGGAATCTTTATTTATTTTATTTAAATTTTATTAAGACAACCTATAGACAGAAAGACTAAAATTATGGGAGAAGAGAATAACAAGCATTAGGTCGATGAGAAATCACTCCTGGGACATAATAACAAATGGATGGTTTGGAGGAAACTAAATCGCTTACGTACAGGAGTTAGACGTTCGAAAGAGAGAAAATCGAAAAAAAGAAAAAATGAGGAAAAAGTGATGACACGAACTGTATATGTGAAGAGGCCCAAGTAATGTCGCACATGTTAAATTGCATCGAATAATCTATCAAATGTGATGTAACAGATTTACAAGTTGTGATCAACATGGCTATAGAGATACCAGAATTTTGGAGCAATGAAATATGGAAGCACAAATCATATGTTACCTTTAACACCACTCATTATTATTTATTATCTATTTAGTACATTGTTCCATATACAGTGGAACCTCGCTATCTCGGAAGTTTCTGTATGTCGAATTTTTCTATAAGTCGAAATCATTATCCAGTACCCCCCACCTATTACGATTCACCAACTCAAATATAGATAATATAGATAAAGTATAAAATGCTCAGACTATAAAATTTAAGTAAATGACAGAGCTTGTACACACAATGTTGTAACAAGGTTGATATTTAATTATAGTTCAGCTAGTGACCGATAACTTCGAAGATACGTCCAAGAACAGTTTTATTTTTTTAATTGTCGGAAGGCAATTTTAATTGATTAATAAGAGAGAGTTGTGAAATATTCTCTAATTTTAATTTATAAATTACAAATATTATAATGAAGTATTTTAGAACTCAATTCAATGACAATATTTTACTTGTAGGTTTGTAATTAAATTTGAACGTGTAATCTACGACATTGATACTTAAGTTAGTTATAAAAGAATATGTCAAGGTTTTTATGTACTTGTCTATCTTCTAAAGTGTCATTACTAAGATATAAAAATATATGACAGGTTTGTATACATTATTATCTACCAATTTATTAATTTATACTTAATTGTACTCTCGTAGACTACACATTTTTTCTATATTTCAGAATTCATAATATTGTTGTCATATGGTTAGAAATTGTTTGTTTTTTGTGAATAAATATGTTTTTTAAAACATTATATTATTTTACGAATAACAAATAATGTGATAATGATAGTTACAGTTTAAGAAAAAATGGCTTTATGTGTTTTATGCACCTTCAAATTACCCATAGTCCCTCCATAGTTAATTAATCATACCTACTTCTAGATAATAGTAATGTGACGTTACAATTTTTGACAATAAAAATTGTAGTTTATGTTTCGTCAGTATTATACCTAATCTTAGAAAACTTAGTGGTTTATAGCTCTTAAATAAAATTAATAAATTATTGTTCCATAATTTATGAATATATTGTATAATATTTATGAATTATATACCGATCAGTTTTATTTATGACAAAAAAATTAGGTTTTTAATTTATTAACTGCATTTTTAGTATTTTGAAAATATTCAAATTATATTAGTGATATTGGTTCTAAAATGTTTATTTAAGTTACCTGACAGTAATAACATTGATATACTTAAGTGATAAACTGTAAAAATTCTAGATATATAAATGACCATTTTAATCTGAGGAAATAGATTAAATCTATTTTAAGTTACTAATACACAGACTGTGATTGTTATACAACTGAAAGTTGATTATTTAATCTAATTTTATTATAAAAGTTAGTTGTTCTCTTTTATTATTTTATTGTTGTTTTAAAGCTATTATATAACTAAGCAGCTTCATAAAAGGAATAATAATTTTTAATTAGCATCATTTCTATTTTGTTATCAATTATTTTCACTAGATTTGGTTTTAAATTATTTAAATTATTTAATATTGTTTTTGTTCTTCACATTACAGAAATACCTATTTAGATTTTATAGTACCAATTAATACTTTGTAATAGTATAGTTTAGTATTATGATAATATTTTTAACTACAATAGTTTTATTCGTGAGAAAATAATCTCTTAATTAATATTGGCTTTTATAATTCTTTTATCGTATTCTTATACAAAAGTATTACTATTATCGAATTACATATTCTTATGTAATTCAATAATAGTAATAATTATTATGAAATAGCTGTATTAGAGTATTCTTCTTATTATTTGTTGAGCATAATAAAATAGTATTATAATTTTATGAGTATGAGATATTCTCAACTAAATATGTAGTTATCCCCATAATATGTCAGCGATTGAGAGTTTCTTCTGTGAATGGTTGATTGCACACTAATTTTTACCACTAAATTCCAAACATACTCGTATTTCGTTTCCAAAAGAAGGTTAGTATTGTTCATTTCCGGCGATTGTAAATTGCTCCCGAGTTTTTATCAAGTGAATAAAGGTGATGTGTAAACTGGGCCCGAGTTTTTATTAAATGTAAAAGATAACATGTAATCTATACCCAGGTAAAATTTTAAAAATGAAAAGCTATATTTTTACAAAATTAAACTTAAATACAAAATTACTAATCTTAAATGACAATTTCTAATTTATACTTATTTCATTATAACTTTATCATATAATATAAAATAAAAATAAAAAAAATTAAAGGAAAAAAAATATAATTAAAAAAATACAATATTAGGATAAATAATGACATCATATAGTTGATAAATATTCATCAATTGAAGTTTAACCATTATTATGTTTATTTTTATTTTTTATTAAATCTTAGAAAAACGATTAAGCTCCACAATTATAATAATAAACATAGGTTATTGATTAAAATACAATAAATAAAAATATTAAAATAATAGAGATTATTTACAGAAACCAGCCTCGTGAATGAAGGAAATAATAAGACGAATGAGAGTAGATTCTGAACTGGAATTCAAAATTCTGAAAGTATTGAATGGGATTTAGAGAAACTTGAGAGATTTAATTAGGATATAACGTTTAAGCTAAGGAAAGACAATCAAAGAGAATATGAAATAGACCACATATTTTTTCTTCTAAATGAAGTGTGCAGAGAGGAGAATTATTAAGATTTAATTTGTAAGCATGGAAAGGTAAGATATGATAGTCAATGCGTAACTGATTTAATTTTATTATGGAGGATCTGGATAAGGCAAGATCGTTAAACCATATTTTTTTTGGTATAACGAGAACGATAGATTTAAATTTAAAGGTGAAATTCGCGTGTAACTTCTTCAAATAAGTAGACTAGAGCGAAAAAACATAGCGTCGTAGGATGGGGTTAAAATTAGACCAAGGAATTGAAGAAAAAGAAGGGTATTTTAGGTGAGCGGAGAGTTTGGTTAATCTATTAGCCATTTCATTTCCGTGGATACCTAAGTGACAAAACCCAGAGGACGCTATTACATTTTTAAATTACATTTTGTAACGTTTCGCATTTTTTTTTTTTTTTTTTTTGTTTCAGAATTTTTATATTAAAAGGTTCATTTATGCTATTTCGTTTAATATATGTTTCTATTTGAATTTCTTTTAACTCTTCTATAAACATAAAAATATTTCAATGCGTTGTATAAAATTTAGAATTAAGTGAAAATGAAATAACTTATGTACTTTTGTAGTTAAAATTGGTTCTGCTGATGTTTGAGCCCATATTTCAGGTGGATACTGAGCTTCTTCATATATATATAAAATAATCTGCAAATCTTGTTATTTTTTTGTCGTCAGGCTTATATTTCATTAAATAATTTACAAAATACTCAGATACACTTCCTGAGCATAGATAATAGTTGGGAGCAGTTTACATTATATATTTTCAATAAAGATAAAAATTCGGATGCAGTTAACAAAAAAAGGTCATTTGGGTTTAGTTTACGTATGCCCTTAATTTTCAATATGGTTTTTTAGTTAACTAAACTTCGTAGGAATAAAAAGTGAATTAGAAAAAAATAAGCATTTTCTGCAGGTGTTTGATGGGGATAAGGAAGTAAGATTAAGTTAGGTTTATGAGTAAAATATTTAAATTACAAATTAAACTGTTTAACTTCTATTTCATATTGTGATACCATAAAAAAAGTATTATACAATCGAGTAAACTGTCAAGAAATCATAGTAGCAAGGTTATTGATGTTTTAAAGTTGAAAGAAACGTTACAAAACGTTCCATATTATTATTCTTATCAATTATCTTACGAATAATGTTCACATTTTATATCAATCATCCTTTTCGTGTCTTCAAGATAAACCATTTTTTTTCCTACGTAGAATTTGTAAAAACCTCAGAAAAATTTCGTGAGGGGGGGGGCTACTACCCCCAACACACCTAGTTGCGCTACTGGTTTTAACCATCAAATAAAATTGTATAAAAACGTTTATTTAACTATTCCCAGAAAGACAGAAACTATACTTCTAGTATGAAATAAAAAATAGTACCTATATATAAAAATAGATTTAATTTAATAAGTATACAAAAATTGTACTTTTAATGCCTTTGGTGTCATATCTTTGAAAAATAAGTTTTACTTAAAAATAGTACCTAATTGCGTGTAATGACTATAATAACTTTTATTCTTATAAATATATGTACTTTTCTATTAATTTTAACAGGATTTTTATATTTATTTTTTAACATTTTTTAGTCTTAAGAATTTAGTGTTTTCGGAATATTAATATCATTTGAAAAGCCGATGCCACACAACTCGTGTACTTGGCGAAAAACTGTCAATTTTTATGCTTTACGAGTCTTGTAGTAGATGATTATTCTTGAAGTATGACAATTATTTTACTCGACAAGCAGTGCTCGAATTGTGGGTGGAGGGGCGGACGGAGTCCACTTTCATTTTTCCATAGATTTCGGCGTCCCCTTCATTTAATTAAGCGAGAATCGCTAAAAACGAGTACCCCCCTCCCACCGGGGATGTTTACTTTTAAACGGTGTATTTGGATTTTCTTTACGTTTTTTTCTATTTTCTATGCTGCAAAATAATGGTTATTTGTTCCCAGAAAACGGTTATCGTTGACGACAATCACGGACTAAGATAATAATCATGGCTAAATAACTATTTAATTTTAAAGTGATTTCGGTTACTTTCTACTTTTGACAACCTTTTGAGAACTTTTTGTTTAATTTTCCACCAATTGACAAGATTAACACAACAAAATGGATTGAATCGTGTGTTAAGAAAGGCAAACGAACAGGAGAGGAAGAAAATTGTCCTAAAAGGATAAAAATTACTGAAGAAAATGGATACAAGTCATTATGGAATTTAATTAAAGAATAATATTTATTTCTATAATTAATATTATTATTTCGTTATAAATTAATCTTATACTAATAAGAAAATAAATATTATATAATATTACTACCTTTATCTTATATATGCTGAGGGCACGGGGGACGAAGTCTACAACGGGTTACTTTACAATTTATCAGTTATGGTACGGTGTTTTTTGAACTAAAACTAGCGTCCGTCCTCAATTTTCTTTCCAATTCGAGCACTATCGACAAGTCGACTCACGGTTTCACATCGGTTATCGGTAAATGTGACAGGAGTCAAAGGTATAAATAATCACGTTTATTGATTGGTAAGTGTACGTGTCTTGTAGGAGCAACATAATCATCAATTCAAAATAATTTTCGTACATAGGTGCTCGATAACGATACACGCCAAGAACACGATTCATGTGGGACCGGCTTAAGACATAAATAATTAAAATTTTTTATATAATATATATTATTCATTTTATTTTGTCTAATCATTCAATTTTCACTTATTGTTATTCTTTATATTAATTGTGTAAATTGAATATTTTAATTTTTTAACTGTAATAGTTTTTACTAAAAGCTCCAAGAAATAAAAAATAAAAAAAACATTTTTCGTTCAAACTTTTTGAATTATGGTATTTCATTTATTAACACTTTATACGCTTCACTCGGTAGATTTGTTATTTTGTTTGGATTTGTTTTCAAAATATGGTTTTTTTATATTAGCTTTAAGTTTGCAGATATTCATTTTTTTATGAGGACGGTTTTTTCTATTTCTATTTACTATCAATAAACACCATTTTTGTTTCGGTATGTGTAACACCATAAAATCAACGAGTTTATTATTAAAATTGCCTAACACTAATTGGTATCTAATTATTTTAAAATTAAAAATGATATATTTTGTACAAAACGTTTTTATATTTTATGATCATTAAACTACTAAGAACTACAATGTATGTAAATAATTTTAATTTACCGGGTTTTTTTGTGATGCTTTAATTTACCCTTGACTTAACTGGTTCCAATGGTTAATCATTTATGATTATTGTTATACTCAACATATACTTTATTGTGTATCACGCGTATATCAGTGGTCTTTACTGTTCAGTATTCAAGGTTTTTTTAAATTTGTTCTATTGATAAATAGTTAATTGTTCTATTATCTTGTGTTAGTTAAATTCGTATTTGTTTTTTGACTACTATTAGTTTTTATAATAACCTTCACTTACATATTAGTCATGACATTATAATTGTAAGTAATTAATATATGATACATCGCACACGATCAATTAGGTTTAATTATTTGTGATTTATATTCACATGGTCATTTAAATATTCTATTTTAAAAATAGTTGCGTCTGTTACACGCTGTATGTTATCGTTAATTTTAACTAGAAATGTTGACTCCCTTTTTATTTTGTATTAGTTATTTAATACTATATTATGTATTTAAAAGATAAATAGCTATAAACGTATTACTTATATCATAGATTAATTAATATATCTATGTCTTTACCAATGAAAGTAGTAAATATTATTGGTTTGGTGTATTATTGGAATAATTATATTTAAATAAATAATTTGTTAATAATAAAATAGTTAAATATTTTGTTTATTTTGTTAAATAATGTTTATTAAAATTTAAAATTTAAAATATTTAACTAGTTTTCATTAGCTGTAATGAATTTATTTATTTTCATTGTAATAAAACGAAAGAAAAAATATTATTAAACTTAATTTTGATATAAATAAATACCTAGATAATATGAAATATGGATAAATAATTCATTATTTTTTTTAATTTTCTCAATTTCGCAATCCTAAATTATCTTTTTTTATGAAACTAATCATAAATTAATTCAATTTTTTATAAACTTTTAATTGTGATTCCCTGTATTCGAGTAACTCAAAATAAATAAAATAATTAACTTGAGTAATTAAAACGTTTTAATAATTTTTATAATTAATAAATGATTTTCTTTTAGGTTAAAAATGGACGCGGGTTTTAAAGAAGATCGGCCTCCACATCCGAGAGCTAGAGCCAATATTTTTGAAATTCTCACCTTTGGGTAAGTTATTATTATGAATAGTAAAAAACATTAAAAATTAAAATAATTTACTTGCATTAGTCAGTGATTTTGCTATCAGTCAAATTAATATTTTAATTTAATAATTTTATTTATCACCAGTGGCGTAGTTGGTTTTTTTTTTTTTAGGGGGGGGGATATTTAGAAAAAATAAGCATTTTCTGCAGGTGTTTGGTAGGGATAAGGAAGTCAGTGGCAGTTTTGATAAAACATCAAGGGGGAGGGCTATTTTAAATTTTTTTGGTTCCCCTCACCATAATTACATATATCAAATAAAGAATACAATTGGTTTATGGTCTTATAATAATTAATTAACATATAACTTTCATTTTTTATTTCATAATTTAAATATTTAGTTTTATTGGAATATTTATAAAGTAACAGCCTCTGAATCATACTTACCTTTAACCATGTACATAATGTTATAAAAAATATAACAAAAGTCCATTAATTTGGCTGTAATCTAAACAAAAGCATGAATAATAAATGCATAACTGAAGTAATAAATTTAAAGCAATTTATGCATATTTTAGTGAAATTTTAATTGAAAATAACGTATATTGTTACATTGTTATCAATTCAAATTTCATGCTGATATTAAAAAAAAAAAAAAAAATTAATAAATTATTTAAAAAACAAATTTGAACATATTATATTATGAAAATAATATGACATACATAACATAATCGTTGACAAAAAAAATGAAGGGGGCGAGCGCTCCCTTCGCCCCCCTAAAAACCGCCACCGAAGGAAGTAAGATTAAGTTAGGTTTATGAATAAAATATTTAAATTACAAATTAAACTGTTGAACTTCTATTTCATATTGTGATACCACAAAAAAAAGTATTTTACAATTGACAATCGAGAAATCGTAGTAGTAAGGTTATTGATGTTTTAAAGTTTAATGGAACGTTACAAAATGTTCCATATTGTCATGTTATTATTGTTACCATCAATTATAATACGAATAATATTCATATTTCATATCAATCAGCCATTTCACGTTTTCATGATAAACCATTTTTTTTTCCTACGTAGAATTTGTAAAAACCGCAGAAAATTTTCGTGGGGAGGGGGTCACAACCCCTAAACCCCACTACTAGTTGCGCCACTGTTTATATATTAAAATCTATTTTATTTGCTGAAATATTAAACCTATTGTACTAGTTGATTTTTATTAAAATATTTTAAATACCTACAGAGTATTTATACAGCCTTTATTTTTTTAGCAAAAACCTAATGGGTGGCAGACAGTGTTGCGCAAAGATAATTAAAAATTTATCTAGATTAAGGAAAAAAGATAAAACACTATTTATTTGGATAAAAAAAAAAATTATTAATTAACTTACACTTTTTTTTTTATATATTTATACTTAAAAAATAAAACTAAATTAAAATTAACTCAACTTTGATCTTATAGGTACCTCTAATATAAATAGTGAACAATAAATACTTATATTATGTACATTTATGTATGAGAAATAAGTAATAAAAAATAATTACTAAGTTTTAAAAATAATACATTCTTTATAGGTATATTATAATTTCATAAAACAGTGTGTTAAAATTTATATAATACTTATTATAGATGGTTAAAATATTTAAAAGTTAATTTCAACATTATCTATATTATTTAATTATCTTTCTTATAAATCAAATATTGAAAGAGTCTCTAGAAAATAAAAATTTAATAGTATTTATTAAATATGTAAACAATTCTTAAAAATAATACTTATGGGCACAATTTAAATAGTATAACTAAATATATAATGCAGTAACACAACTTTTCAAATAATAGTAATTAATTATTAAGTTAATAAATTAATAATATTAATTAAGTTTTCATTAATATTAAATTTTTATTGGTTTTCAACATTCAAGTTCAATTTTTCGAATTATTTGAATATACTCGTATTTATTTATCTAGATGAATCACGTTAGATAATTCAAGAATTAATTTAATATAGTTCATCAGATTATTAATTTTGTTTATTATCTTTATAAGATAAAATATATTTAATTATTTATCTAGATAATTTATTTAGATAATTTATCTAGATAACGAACTCAACACCGGTGGCAGATGTGGTACACTTTGTAGGATTTTATAATTGTTTTTATGATAAAATTGCTTAATGAAATTATATATTGTGTTTTATTTTGTTTAGGTGGACTTTAAAGCTCTTTAAAACAGGACAAAAAAGAGATTTAGAAATAAATGATTTGTATTCAACTCTAAATGATCATTCGTCGTCATCATTAGGAAATGAATTAAAAAAGTAAATTTATGACGAAAATAATTTTTTCAGATTAATTTTATTAAATATTGAACCTGTTTGATTTAAGAAAATGGAGAATAGAGTTGGCTAGAGCAAAGAAGTCAAATAGGCAGCCTAGTTTGTTAAGAGCTTTACTTCAAATGTTTGGACCTAAGTTAATGTTGTATGGATTTTTACTTTCAATTGTTGAGATTGTACTAAGGTAAGAATTCAATATTTATTATTTGAAAACTTAATAATTACTGAAGTGTATGCTATTTCTGGAAGATATGTTATTATAGTTTAACTTTTTAGTTCTTTTAGAAGAGTATAAATAAAATATGTAATAATCGACCTTTCTCTAGTTATTATAAAAGCAATCAAATTTTTTAGCTGTATTTCATTAGTAAGTATTAAATGTATATAGAAGTTATAAAAATACCATATAATATATTTAATATCACGAGTTCATGATTCATTATTATTCACAAGTATTAAATTATTTTAATTTAGTTTGTATAATTTAAAATTGTAAATATTGAATAGGATTTTGAAATTTTAAATGAATATCGAGATATTTATTTTATACCAATATATATTATACATGTATACATTTTGTTAAATAAATCATAGTTTATTTATTTTATCATTGATTTTATAGTATAAGTGATAAGTCATTATTTAATGTAACAGATAAAATTATATGCAATAGAGCACATGTAAGGAGTTTCTTACTTTTAACCTTCTTGAATTAGTTTTATCGATTGCTTTATCAAACAACAGCTTTTGTGAAGATTATCAAATTTATGATTTAATTTTTAATCTGTAAAGAACTTTGTAATTTATTCTAAGGTTGTCATTTTAATTGAATTTTTGTTACGTAGATAAATATTCATAGAAATATATAAATAATTATTACTCATAATATTTATAGAAAATTTATAGAGTTAAATTTCTTATTCAACTACTCAGAGTCTGTTCACACAATTCGATATTCTTACCATATTGGATATTTTCTCGATTCGATGTCTTTCAGTTGGACTGTTCAGACGTTACGGTTATTTTACCGTACACCGTACACAGAGCCCAATTTAGGAATTTTGTGGTTCGGGTCTAATTTTTTGATGGGGCCCCAAAATTAATTATTATCTAAATTCTAAATTATTAACTTGAATTATAAATGCAATCCTTTTGCCATATGGATATTTTATATTCAATTTATTTAATAAGATTATAAATAAATTATATCACAAGTCTATAAGTAATTATTTAATGACGATTAATATAAATAAAACGATGAAATTAAAAATATAAATATAAGTAAAGAAGTGTGGATACAGTTTTTAATTTAAACAAATGTTTACTGATATACATCATATACATTGTACACAAAGTCAAAGTGTTAATGCATTTTTCAACATAGTCCAGGAGCATATTTAGACTTACTTCTAGGGGGGGGAGTGACTCAAATTTTTTTTTTGATTCAGGCTCATTTTTTACTAGTCAACTTTTGATAATATATAAAGCAGGTGAATCCTAAATATTTGTGGTTTTTTTTTTAATCTAATGTCGAATCCTCTTAGAATCGACTTTTGTGTAGTTCTTTTTTAACACATGAGTGTGTTTTGAAAGTTACAATAGTGTTTTATTTGATTTTTCTCTGAGTATGGACCCGAAAAAAAGCCCAATTCAGTGTTCACAGCCACGCGTAATTTGATTTCGTTAAAAAATTATCTATATTAAAAGATTTCGTTATAAAATTATCTATATTAAAAAAACTTGTAATGTGTATCTCACATACTCGTATAATCGATTCTTTAAATATGGATTCAGGGGGAGGTGGTCGCCCCTGAGATAGTCAATATAAATAATAAAAAAATGTACATGATTTAGAATTTAAGACAACAGTTTTTTTCTAGATTTTAGTTCACTAAACTTTTGAATTAAATCTGAAAAATCAAGTATGTTAATTATTTCCTTTTCAGCAGATAGATGAACGAGTGAGTTTAATTTTTCTTGGTGAAGGGACGTTCTTCTGGCGTTTTCAATTAGTTCTAATTTTGAATTTGTTCTTCCTGGTTCACAATTCGAAACTGGCAAAGTTAAATAAAGTCGTAGAGAAATTTACAAATTTGGAAAGATTTCTTTTAAATTATTTTCATGTACATATAAGTAAATATTTTGAGGAGAAATTATTGGTAAATTTAACTGCATTACATAACTTGAAAAGTGCACAATCTCTTGTTTTATATTTATTGTATCAATATCATCTTTGAATATCAGCAGGAGCCCTGGGCTGCAGCCTCTCTAACCCCCCCCCCCCCTAAGTTGGGCTCTGATTGTATGCAACCCTACTATAACACTTGGTTTTCAGTTTCATTCGTATTCTCATCAAAACGCGTGAAGGTGAACTTGAATACATTTATAGTAATATACTGGGAAATATTTATTTAAAATACTACGTATTTCCCTCTATATCGATTATTTCGATGCCTTATCCTTATACGATATACCTATATCCAATGATTATCCCACAATACAGGTCTTGTTTCAACCAATGATACAAGAATTTCCGTATTTATGTCATCCATTGCGTATCCATCGCAATTAAAATACTTAAAACAAAGGAATATTGATCGGTAAAATAAAAAGGAAAAATGAGGAGCTATCGGTCAAAATACCGAATCGTCTGAATACTGTATATATAAATACATTGCCACGATAAAACGAATTAGTTTTTCTACCGTACAACCGAAAATAAAAATATGCAGTGACAAAACCGAATGACAAAATCGATCTAATCGTTATTTTTACCAAATACATACATTTCCGTATCTCTGAATATATGCAATTAAATCGACACTGGATTATACAGTAAAATCAACGATACGGCAAAACCGCAGATTCGGGATTGTGTAAACGGGCTCTCAGATGTTGTATGTAATCTTTTCTAAATATTTTTTTGGAATTATAACTTTATATTGATATGACCGTAAGTCGTGACTACTTTAAGGTATATGATATTTTTAATGAAATGAATTATTGAAATTATCATTCTTAATACATTTTTCCGATTATTTCCGATGAGGAGTGGTAGAAATATGTTTTATCTGTGCGTTGTATTACAAATTAATTAATACAACCTTCCGTCTTTGTATACTATTATTAATTTTAATAATTAAATAATTTTTTTATTTGTATTATACAATTGACTCGATTCAAGAAACAAGAATAATGTTATAATTATAAATTCATTGAACTAAGTCTTCAAATACTAAATTAAATTGTACTAAAATTTTGATTTTTTAAATCAAGTAACTAAATTCCTTTAATATAATTGGAAGTTGTGATTTAAAAATTGTTTATTATACGTGGAAGGTGAGAATTTAGATATTTTTCATTTGCTGTGTACTGTTCGATTAAGATGTCAAATTATTTTGTATACTGATTGAATTTGTTATGAAGTTTATTTGAGATATAATTTTTCATTTTTTTCGTCTCAATTGTTACTAAAACGATTAAAATATTTTTTGATTTTTTTTTTTTGTGTTTAATCAAATTTTGGGAAGTTCAAAAAACTAAAAATTGGAAAGTTGAACTCAAGTTAACTCTTTGACATATTTGAATGTTTTCAAAATGTTTTGTTCAAATTCTTAAATTTTTTCTTAGTTTTTTAATGCATGCCCTTATTAACTTTTCAAAACAAGTACACTTCTCCTCTACCGTCAAGAAAAAATATTTCGGTCCATCAATACTTGGAGGATGGTATTGCCCCCATTGAGAACCATTGTAGTTTAGAATCATATAATTTTTAATTATTTGTTTTGTCTACTGGATATAATTGAATGATAGTTTTTGTTTAAGAATAATAACTAAATATTAAAAATGAGTTTAATTGTGTTGAAAATTATGCATATGAATGTTTTCTACTGTTAAAATGATTATGTTTTATTTGATCGTCATTTAGGTTAGGTTATGAAGACATAATAATTTGTATTCAATATAATATATTATATTACATTTATAATAATTTAAATCAATATTCCTAAATTGTGCATTGCGGTGTCCATAGTAACTACAAACCCATTTTAGAGGCACCTTTGCTCATATGAAAATGAAACTAGTATTATATGTATTAGTGTTTGTTTGCTATGTTTATTGCGAGGTCCTTGTGGTATTCATTACTGAGCACCACGACTGAAATTTTTTATACACCGAGTAAAAAGTTTGGGAACCGCCTATCTATACAATAAGGTAGCTGATAATTGTGGTTAAAAAAATGGTCAATTAGAAAATTTAACTGGAAAAAATAGTTGTTATATTTGATTTACGGAGATAACATAATAAACTGGTTAAAATTTACACAGTATTTAACTTAAATGGTAATACGAAAAAATTCTGTTCAGTAACCTCAAATTGAAATAGTTTTCTTAAAGTTATGGAGAATACCGAAATAAACTTTTTTAAACTACTTTCAAATGGTTAATCCTTTCAGTGCGTTTATGTGTAATATTATTTGAATTTTCTTAAATGACAACTCATACTTACAATATAGTATTTGGATAAATCAATTTTTTTTAAGTAACATACAAAATTAATTGATTTATAAAGGATTAATAATTTAGTTATTAGTTTTATACTATACATATTCAGAAATTGAAACTTATTTCTAAACAGTATGGGGAATAAATGTTTAGATTATTAATTGGATGTTATTACTTTTATAATAGAATACTTGGAATATTGTACCTATTATAAATAGTATAACAATTGTATTTTTGTAAGACAATATCTATTCGTAAGTAGTACATTTAAAACCGTTGGATGAAAGGATATGAACTGATAACCCAACTTGCGCATTCTTTCGATTTTACACTACTTGTTTTAAATGTTTGGGAACAAAAACTGTACTTCGAATTGTTTACTAGATAATAAGTGTTTTATTGTTATGAAGTGTAAAAAAAAAAAATGAAAAAAAAATTAAACTTTAGTTTTAATAAACTTTACTTTAATTTATCTCTCATGTAGGTATCTGTTATTAATCAAAAATATTTTACAATGATCAAGTGCTGAAGTTATAAGTTATTGAAAATTAAGTGAAAATTTTTTGTTTTAACTATTAATTTCTATTATTCAGGTAATAATTGAGATTATAAATATTTTTATGTAATATGCTCAGAAAAATAATAATAATAATAATAATTAGTCATACCAAATGTTAAA